TCCCCCTGCTGGCCCCCCCCACTCAGCCCCCCCCCCACCGCGACCGGCCCCCGCCCCCCATTTCCCAGTGTCTCGGTGCTCCTCGGGCCTCCAGAACTTCCCTGCTGCTGCCCCTCCTTGGAACACCCTCCCCTTGCGTGTTCCCTGCCCCCTCTTTTGCTCCTTCAGGCCTGCAGGAGCCCCCCCACCCCACCCCATGAGCCCCCAGATATCCCAGGTGGGGGCGGAGCTTCCGACCACCCTGCCCACAGGCCCTTCCCCTCCAGCTGGTGAGCCCTGGTTTCAGCAGCCAGCCAGTGTGTGGTGGCGGCAGACACGCAGCAAATACGCACTGCATGGTTAATTCCCTCTGCCAGGCCCCCAACTCTCCTGCCTCCAAGCCGGTCTTCGCAAGTCCTTCCCCCAGACTGGCCTAGCAGAGAAGTGGTCCTGAGCTGGGCCCACCCACCGTGGGACCCCTGCCCAGCATCATCCCAGTGTCCGGGGGCTCCCGGTCCCCCCAGACTCTTGCCGCCGTCACCAGGGCTCCCTGCTGGGTTCAGGGTCCCGCCAGTCCCTGGTCAGCCCCTCCCTTTTTCCTGCCCTCCAGGACCATCGGTGACCGCATGGGGGAGGCCAAGGCCAGTGGGAACCTGGGCAACACACTTAAGGTGCTGGGCCGCTTTGACGAGGCCATTGTCTGCTGCCAGCGGCACCTGGACATCGCCCAGGAGCAGGGGGACAAGGTGGGCGGCGGCCCCTGACCTGTGGCCCTGTCCCTCCCTCCCCGTGACCCCTACCTTAGTGTCTAGACTTGGTGCTGCCACCCCCCAGGCCCTTGCCTTCAGGGCCCGAGGAACAGCGGGGACCGTGGACCAGGCGATGGGAACACCAGCTCTGTGCGCACAGGGCCTGAGCGGCCGGCTCCTCGGGGGCTGTGGCTTTGGAGACGCCCCACCCCCACCCCACCAACCTCAGTGTCACCCACAGGTTGGGGAGGCGAGGGCACTTTACAACATTGGCAACGTGTACCACGCCAAGGGCAAGCAGCTGTCCTGGAACGCAGCACAGGACCCTGGGCACCTGCCGCCTCCCGTCCGCGAGACGCTGCGCCGGGCCTCTGAGTTCTACGAGTGAGCAGGCGGGATTGTCCCCACGCTCTGCACACGCGGGGACCTGGGTGGGCTCCCTCCTCACCCCCACCCGCCCTGTCCTCGGCCTGGCTGGCACAGGCACAGGCTGTACCTGAAAACCAGAGTCGGGGGCGGGGCGGAGGCTGACCCGAGCCTTGGAGCTCAGACTGTGCAGAGCCGCCCTCATCTGGGGGCACGACCCTGGGAGGGGCTGTGTGGAGGCCACCCGCTCAGCATCTTGTAGCCTGGGTGGGTGGGTCGCTGGGAGGGACACAGCTGAGAGAGACTTGGCCCTCAGGAGGAACCTGTCCCTGGTGAAGGAGCTGGGCGACCGGGCAGCCCAGGGCAGGGCCTATGGCAACCTGGGCAACACCCACTACCTGCTGGGGAGCTTCACAGAGGCCACGACCTTCCACAAGGAGGTGAGCGGGTGGCAGCGACGGGGTGGCACCGACATAGGGTCGGAGCGAGACTGCCGGGGCACCCCACCAGCCCCCTCACTTCGTCTGGGTTTGGTGCCGGGCCTCCCAGGGCTGCCCCTCTGGGCACACGGACATCAGGCTGGCCGTGCTGGGCAGTGGGGGAAGGGCAGCACCTGCCACCTGCATCGGATCCCGGGCTGCTCCGTGACCACCTGGGCCTTGTGTCCGTGTCCTCAGCGCCTGGCCATTGCTAAGGAATTTGGAGACAAGGCGGCAGAGAGGAGGGCCTATAGCAACCTGGGGAACGCCCACATCTTCCTGGGGCGCTTCGACGTGGCCGCCGAGTACTACAAGTAGGCAGCACCGCTCCCACCCCCACCGCCCAGCCAGGGAGAGGTTGGGCCCTAGGAGGGTGAGGGAGCCTGGACCCCAGGCCGAGGAGGCGCCCACCTCAAGCTCTGCCCTCCCAGCCTCCCCAGGGGCCGTGCGGGGGCTTCTGTGCCACCCTGGAAGGGCGACCAATGGAGCCCAGAGAGACCCCCAGGGGGGTCCTGGGGCTGGAGGCCTCAGGGCCAAAGGGCTGCTTCCCTACCGCCCCCCACGTAGCCCTTGGAAAGGGGTGTTGGGGGAGCATGAGCTGTGCCTTAACCCCTGTGGGGGGGAATACTGGAATCTTCCTTCCTGGGGGCGACCCCCTGCCCCCCACAGGAAGACCCTGCAGCTGTCCCGGCAGCTCAAGGACCAGGCGGTGGAGGCGCAGGCCTGCTACAGCCTGGGCAACACGTACACGCTGCTACAAGACTACGAGCGCGCCGCCGAGTACCACCTGCGGCACCTGCTCATCGCCCAGGAGCTGGCCGACAGGTGCGTGCGGCGGGGACGCGCAGCTGCCCAGGCCCACCCCGGGGGCCCCTGGCCGCCCCTCCAGGCTCCTGGGCTGAGTGACAAGCTGATTACAGTGGCCTGGACTCGCCGGCCTGGGTCTGAGGCCCTGCTCTGCCACCGACCACCAAGGGACCCTGCTCGAGGCGGCCCCGCCTGGGCTCAGCCTCCCCCGTCAGTTGGCCATGCTGCCCACTGAGTGGGACCCGGTGAGACCAGTGGGCGCTGGGCCAGCTGCTCGCAGTGACCCTTGGCGCAAGCTGGTTGTGGGGCTGTGCCCCAGTGCCCGCCCCGTTGCCCCCCGTGAACACCCCCGTGCCCCTCTCTCTCCACGTCCGTGTAACCGGCAGCCTCTACAGAGAGACAGACCGCCTGGCCGAAGACGCCTAAGCACGCAGCCATGCGCGCAGGTCTGGGGGTGGCAGTGGCAGCAAGAGGGTTCAGAGCCCCAGGCCAGGGCCCCTCGTGGGTGGTGGAGAGGAGGGGCTTCTAGGAAGCTGCTCTGCCAGGGGGCTTAAATCGGCCCTGCAGTTTTTCTCTTGGGTGATGATGTTTTGGAACGAGATAGAGGCGATGGTCCTAGGTGGTAGGTGTACGCGGAGCCACTGAATCGTGCGCTTTATGGCAGTTAAGTTTATGTTACATTATTTATAGTTCCATTAAAAAATTTATGATCAAGGGAATGAGGTCACTGCTGCTCAGGGAGCCACAGGGGTGAGAGCCTCACCGGCCACTAGGGGGCACTCAAGGCCACGCCAGGGACCCTGGACCACCCACGGAGCACCCCCCACCCACCCATCCCCAGGTCGGGATGGGCCTGACCACCCGGTGTGGGGGCTTGGGATGGCTGGACTAGTGGGCAGGCTGGCAGGCCTGGGGTGCAGACGTGGACTCAGTTTCCCTTCCTGACAGAGTGGGTGAGGGCCGGGCGTGCTGGAGCCTGGGGAACGCCTACGTATCCATGGGGAGCCCAGCACAGGCCCTGACCTTCGCCAAGAAGCACCTGGAAATCTCCCAGGAGGTGAGCCGGGCCTGCCCTCCCCTCAGCCCCCAGCCCTGGCCTTCGCCAGCGTTGGAGCCCCCCATCCCTGGTGCTGCCCAGCCCCCTCCAGGTGGGCCGCTGCCTCTGTGTGCTCTAGGCTCTTCCCTGGCTGTCGCCACCCGCTGCGAAGGGGCCCAGCCACCCCGTGACTCCTGAGACCTGGTGGCTGCTTGTCTGCTGTAGCAGGGGCTTGGGAGGGGGGAGTGGGGGCCTGTTTTCCGCCCGTAGAGGGTTAGCGTCACCTTTGGGCAGCCACCACCGGCTGCTTCTGTCTCCGACGGAAGTGTGCCAGGCTGGGCCATGGAATGCCTCTGCCCGACACCCAGGGTGGAAATACCTACCAGGGGCAGCCCAGGGGCACAAAGGCACAGCCGCCCCTGGGGGATCTTCCCCTGGGACCCCTCAACCAGACACCTTCCTGGGGAAGTGGGCCTGTCCACCCAGGACCCTCCTGCTGGGGTCAGGGCAGCCCGCGACTGGGCACTCCAGGGTCGGCGCGGGTGAGCCCCGGCTCCCCGGCTCCCGACCCGTCCCCTCCTCAGCCCCCACCCGCCTCTGGGAAGCAGCCCCAGCGGCAGAGCCAGGTCACCTTCCTCCCCAGCGCTCCGCAGACCCGCCGCAGACACAGCCCCAAGTCCACAGGCGGGCAAGGCCCCTAGGCGCCCCGGTGGAGGGGAGGAGGGCCCGCGTGAGGAGAGGCCCTGGCTTGGAAAAAGCCCCTCCACCTGGGCCACCAGCGGGACCGGCCCCTGCGCCCCTCTGAGCACAGGCAGGGGCCCTGGAGCTCCACGTGGGGGTCCCCCCACCCGCCTTACCCGTGGCTTTGCTCCTGAGTAAGCACGTGGCCTCCCTGCAGCAAGGGTCCCCACCGGGAGCCTGGCGGGCACGGGGCTGAGAAAGGTGCAGGCTGACTGCCCACAGGAGGGCCCCACGTGGCACGGCCGGGCTGGGGTGTGAGGGGGGGCTGTCAGGGGCATGTGAGGCTACCCCCGCCCCCGGAACCCCCGCCAGACTCCACCTCTGGGGCGCAGTGGGCCTAGTGCCCTTGGAGACCCGGGGCCGTGACTGCCCCTTGGGAGTCCACAGGGGGCCTCGCAGCCCACTGACCTGGCCCTGCCCGGCTGCAGATCGGGGACCGCAGTGGGGAGCTCACGGCCCGCATGAACGTGGCGCAGCTGCAGCTGGCGCTGGGCCGGCTGTCCAGCCCGGCAGCCGCGGAGAAGCCAGACCTGGCCGGCTATGAGGCCCAAGGTGAGCTCCTGGGCTGGGCGTGGGGTCCCGCTCTCCCGTGGGCTCAGACCTCAGCCTGAGATGCAGGGGCCTGAGAGGGCAGGGGGGTGGCAGGAGGGCTGCCAGGGTAGAGGGGGTGCTGGCTCACTCTGGGGCCCAATGGGCTCCACCCTCAAACAGGAGAATATTTAACAGAGCTGCTAGCCAAGGGAAGGGGTCCCTCATAACGTGTTGAGCCCCTGTCCCTGGCGGGTGTGGGCATCTGAGTCTCGTCGCCAGCTCATCCCAGAGCTCACAGTGGGGTGGGCAAGTGACAGGGTGCTGGGGGCAAGTCGGGATCCTGAGATTGGAAGGTGCGGGACGCAGCACGGGCAAAGGGGCATTCAGGCCAGTCCTTCATGTCTCTGGGGCAGTGGGGCCCTGGGGTGGCCCTGAACCCCCCAGGTTTCTCAGGCACGAGGAGGAGGGGGCCCCTCCCTGCCACTCCCTAGCCACCCTACTCCTCTGGGGCTGGCCACCCCCCTCCAGGCTGGGGGCTGGGCCTGGGGGAGGGCTTCTTGTAGGGATGGAGTGGGAGGGGGCTGCTGGCAGGAGGGAGAAGCCAAGTCAGCCAGAGGCCGAGGGAGCCGTGAGCCGGGTACTCATCAACTGAGGCCCGCAGATCAGCCACGGCTGCCGTTAACGACCTCATTCACGGGCTGCTGGTTGCCCTGTGCAGGTCAGTGATGCTACCCACACGAGGACAGAACGTTCGCGGCCAAGCAAATAGATCAATAAATGTGGGCGCTGGGGCAGGGGCCGCCCTGAGCTGGCCTCCCGCGCTGCCGGTGGGTACGGGGCAGGCTCTGGGCAGGGGGTTAGCTGCCCCTCCCTCGCAGCCCACACAGTCCACAACTCGTGGTTCTCAAGTTCTCGGAGAGTCCAGCCCCGGGCTCCTCATGGCTGTGTTCCCGGGTTGCCCACCTTCCCCAGCCTCCAAAGCCCCCAGGCCCGCCCAGGACGAGGCTGGGAAGCCATCCGACTGTGGTGTCAGGTCTCCGGGGTTCTGTGCTGTAACGCTCATGGATTTGTGACAATGGCCTGTCCGGGAAGATGGGGGCACCCGTCACCCTCGCTCAGAGGCTGAGACGGAAGGGAGGAAATGGGCTGCCGGGACCCTCAGCCACTCCTGTTTCGGGGGTGCCGTAGCCGGTGGGGATGGGATAGAGCGTGGCCCCCTTCTCTCCTCACCCCCTCCCGGCACATGCAGGCCAGTGTCTGCCCTTCCGGCCGGGGTTTTCCGAGGGTGGGCAGCTCCGCCCAGAGCCCCTGGCACGCCTGGCCCTGCCAGGCCACCCTCTGGGAACCCCAGCGGCAGGTGGGGGCAGGGCTGAGCCCGTCTGGAAAGGCTCCCGCGGAGGCGCGGCCCAGCCCCGGGTTCTTCTGGTGTTTTCCTCCTTCTTTGAGCTGAGGAAAGGGGGGCACAGGGTGGGTGCGGGAACAAGGCAGCTTCTGTCCTCCCCACACCGCCTCTTCTGCTCTGCCCCGGGCCCAGACCCTTGCCAGCCGAGGCCCCAGGAAGCCTCCTCCCACCAGGCTGCCAGCGCCGGGCCGCCAGCAGCCGCTGGGAAGAGGCCATCCTCCTGGGAGGACGGTGGCCGGGACGGCGTCCCAAGGCCCGTGGGGGCAGGTCTGGGGGCCGCGGCCCTGGGATGCGGCTGCTGGAGGTGGGCCAGCGCCCTGAGTCTAGGCGGCCCTGGAGGAGACCCCCGGTCGGGTGAGCCCGGACGGGCGGGGCCTGTGGTGCGGGGGCGGCATCATTCCTTCATCCGTTGGTTCACTCGTTCCTTCAGGGACGTACTGAGCGCGGGCGGTGGGCCGGCCCGGTTTCCAGAAAGCCGGGTGCCTGTCTTCTGGAAACTGTCCCTGGGGTGCGGGGGTGGGGGAGTTGCATATCCAGAGTCTGGCCGTGGGGGGCGGGGGGTGAAGGGGGCCAGGTGAGCCCCGGGAGGGCCCTTAACCAGCCCCGGTGGGGGAGCATCTCCCGGGGAGGAGGGTAGGCCCTGGGCTGGGTCAGGGGGCCAGGAGGGACCCGGTGAGTGTGGCCGTGGCGGTGGGCGTGGCCTTGCGTCACAGGTGTGGCCTGTGGTGGGCCGTGGGCCTGGGGGTGGCTGGCACTTTATGCAGCTGGAGGACCCAGAGCCTGGCTGGGCTCATTCCATGTGTTACCCTCACGGCCCTCGCTGCCCCCACGCCAGCTAAGAGGTCCCAGGGTGAGTCTGGGTGGGCGGGGCACCTCCCTGCCACTGCTGCGTGGGTCAGGGTCAGTCCTCCCAGGGTACTTGCTGTGCCCACCCTGCCCACCCCAGGAGGGCACCGGACGGGGGCCCGTGCTGGATGGAGGTCCCGCTGCGCCCCCTCGACATGGCAGCATGGTCGGCGCATAAGATGGGGGAGTCGGCGCTGAGCCGCACGGGGCTGCCTGCTCGTCCCCTCTCGTGGACGTCCCTCTGCCTACAGGGTGTGGACTGCCCTGCCCCCCCCCCCACTTGTGTTGCTCCTCAGTCCCTTCACCCCCTGTGCCCTGCTCAGGGCGTCCTGGGCCCAGAGCAGCAGGAGTCCCGGGACACCGCGTCCAGCCACCTTGGGAGGTTGAGCTGTTCGTGGTGTGATGTCTGAGCGGCTGCTTAGGCTGCAGGCTCTGGCCCTGGCTCCGCACGTCCTGGTTGGCAGAGCAAGTGGCGACCTAGCTGTGCCTCCGTGTCCCCATCTGGGAAGCAGGCCCGCTGGTCATCTTGGGAAGAGCACCTGGCGGGGGACAGGGGCACAGCTCATGTCCCCAGGAGGGCTGAAGATGCAGATACAGCACGGTCCATCTGTGCATTCAGCAAGTGGCCTGCAGCCCACCCACGTGCCAGGCACCTGTGATGGACAGGTCAGGGCCACGGGGCCACAGGGGCCCTCATCTGTCCTTAGGTCTGAGTCTTCTCCGGCCACTCTCAGCTGGACCCTCTTGGGCTCTCCAGGTGAGCCTGACTTGCTGTAGCACCTGCCCTATGCAGGCACGCCTACGGCCCCGACTCCCCCTGTCCTGACCTGGCTCTACCCCTCTGGGCTCGCTGGCCTTGGCCAGGTGGTCACCCTCTCTTGAGCCCCTGTGTCCAAAGTCCTGGGAGGGTGGCTAGGACCTCTTACGCTGGCGACGGCCCGGAGGGGACAGTGCATGAAACTGCCCGTGGGGCCTTACACGGTAGGCACTCGGTAAACGCTAACTACTCATTCCACCATCCTTAAAGCACCTACTGTATGCTAAGCCCCGTCCGAGCTCTAGGGCCACAGCAGTGATAAATGATAAATGCGTGGAAAGAGAATCACATGTTACAGGTGCTTTGGGGGCTGGTTAGGAAAGTTGGGTGGGGCAGGGTGTATCCATAAATACAGCAGCGGGTGGCAGCTTGAGCCCCGTATCAAAACCCCACAGACTGGGCGGCTTAAACCATGGACATTTATTTCTCACAGTTCTGGGGGCTGGATGTTCAAGAGCAGGGCGCCAGCATGGCGGGGTTCTGTGAGGGCCTCTTGATTTACAGATGGGGTGGGTGGGGTGTGGGGGGAAGAGAGCGAAGGAGCTCTCTGGTCTCCTCATGTGGGCACTGATCCCATTGTGAGGGCCCCACCCTCATGACAGCCAACCCTAATCATGTCCCCAGGCCCCACCTGCTGTACCATCACGTTGGGGCTTGGGGCTTCGACACATGAAATCTGGGAGGATGCAGAATGTTTAATCTATAAGCGACATTTGAGTGAAGACTTGAAGGAGTGAAGAGAGGGAGCCCTGAGCCTGAGAAGGAACCGCAGTCCTAGTGGAGGGAACAGCCGTGCAAGGGCCCTGAGGCAGGAGGGATCCCACCAGGGGGGAGCCGTGGGCCCTTGTGTAAGCCCCACCCTCACAGCAGAGGGGCCCTTGCAGGTCCAGCAGCAGAGGAAGATCTAACCCAGATCCTTGGGGCATCTCTCTGGCCCCTGCATGGAGAAGGGACCACGGGGCAAGGCTGGGCAGGGAGGCAGTGGGGCTCGGGGGCTCGAATTCTGGGTCGGCTCTGAAGGTGGAGCCGCCAGGAGTAGGGAGTGGACATAAGGTAGGAGGTCGGGGGCGCCAGGCCGGGCAGCTGGAAACCAGTGGGTTGGGACAGAGTGTGTCGAGACGCCTGGTGGGGACAGAGGATGACGAGGGTGCCGCACAGGCCAGGTATGGTGCGCAGTCCTCGGGAAGTTTCCAGGCCTGACTCTCGGGCGGGCGGGGCAGTGGTGCCTGAATGCCCCCAGTCAGGGCGGGCTCAGCTCAGGGGCGGCTGGAAGCGCTGGGTTCGGAACGCGCTCTCCAGACAGAGGCCGCATTTAGCTAGGCCCGGAGGGCCTTCCGCCCGCTGTCCACGTGGGCCGGGAGGGAGGGACCCGCCCTGCAGCCGGGCGCGGGCTGCATCTCAGAGGGACCTTTCATGGTGGAGGGCCAGGCTGGGGTGGGGGTGGGGGGCCAGTGGACAGGGCTGGGCAGCGAGTGGGGCCCCTCGCTGGGGCGGCAGGCGACGGAGCAGGGCTGTTGCCGGCCGGGGGTGGGGTGGGGTAAGGGCCGCCAGGCATGGGGTCCCCAGTCCTTTGGTTCAGGGCCAGTTCCTTCGTTTCCTCCTCAGAGCTGCCTTCCTCGTGCCACTGGGGGTGGGCCGTGTGCCCCGAGGCTGCGCCCCTCTGGCTCGGGGCCTGGCAGAAGCCTGCCAGCCAGGGGCTGTTTTCTTTGGGGTGGGGGGGGCAGCGGCAGGCCCGCACGACCACCACGGCCAAGCGGTGGGGACCGAGGGCCGTCAGCTGGCCTAGTCCTGGGGGAACGCTTCCAGGAGCTGCCCGGCTGGCACCTGGTCGGGCCGCTGTGGCCACTCCTTCCCCAGCTCCCGGGATAGCGACCGCTGACGCCCCTCCGAGGATCACTGCGTCCCCACCTCGGACTGGCACGTTTCTCGGCCTTAGGAGGGCAGGGGGACGGTGTGTGGCTTGCTCAGGGCCTGGGGCCAGGACAGGGAGGAGGACACGGCCGCCCTCACCAGCCGCTCCAGGCCACCTGCCCAGTTAGTTCTCGTGAAGCTCTGGATGTTTGGTTTGGGCCGGTCTGAACGCCTGAGCGCCAGAGCCGGCTCCCTTCTGGGGACCATGTCCCAGGCAGTGGGTGCGGGCCCAGAACCCAGGCCAGGCTTGGGGCCGGGGGCCGGGTGGAGGGCTCCCCGCCCACCCCTCGAGGCCGCTCGCTGTGGCGTGTGCGCCTGGCCGCGGCGAGGGGCTGGACAGGGCGGGCTCTGGGTCCGGCTCCCCACGCCGCGCCGCGGGCGTCCACAGAGCAGCTTAGCTTCACGAACGGAGCCATGGGCGGCGGGCACTGGCGGTGGGGATGGAGAGCGAACCATTGCATCCATGGCTGCAGCTTGCTGGGTGCCCGAGATGCGCCAGGGGCCATGAGATGCTTTCCAGGCCCCCTGGACTGAGGGCAGTATGTCCACCGGCACCATCTGACGGGGGCGTCGGCGGGGGCGTGGAGGGGGCTGAGCTCCGCAGGGGGGGTGACCGGTCCAAGGCCAGTGGTGCCGAGACACGACCCCCAGGGTGTCCACTGGCGCCGGAGGCCTTGGTCACTTTGCCCACTGCGCTTCCTGGGCTGCCCCGGTGTGGGCGGGGTGAGGGTGTGCGGGCACAGGGTGTGGGGAGCAGCTGAGCCAGGGCTGAGGCCTGGGGCTGTGTAGACGCAGGAAGAGTGTCCGAAGGGAGGGAACGGTGGAGGCGAAGGCGAGTGGGGGAGAGCCAGGCCCAGAGCTCGGGAGCTAACGGGGGCCCCTGCGCGGTCGGCCCCACCTGGGCGCCTGCGTGCTTGTCCAGTCGGGCGTGCAGCGCTCTTGCAGATGCCGCGCTGGTCCCCACGTGGGCTGGGAGGTGGGAAGCTCGCGATCCTCGAGGCCCAGGGCCGGCGCCGGCTGACTGGGCCTGCTGCCTTGCAGGGGCCAGGCCCAAGAGGACACAGAGGCTGAGCGCGGAAACCTGGGACCTGCTGAGGCTTCCCCTGGAGCGGGTGAGTGGGGCTCAGGGCGGGCAGCCGGGGGCACGTGGGGGCAGGTGGCAGCCAAGCGACAGCCGCCTACAGTTAGAAGCAGAGCGTGGGCAGCGGGGTAACGAGGCTCGCGCGGTGTTTGCTGAGCTGCCAGCACCCGCCAGGGTTCCTGTCTGCGTCATGTCCCTGCCAGGGGCGACAGATGTGCCCCATGCGGCCCAGGACCCTGGATGGGCCACGTGCCCAGAGAGGGCCCCAGGAGACCCCACAGCACCGGAGGCTGCTCCCTTGCCTCTCATCGTGGTCCTGCCACCCAGGCCCCCGGCTCCTTACATGTTGTAGACCCCCAGTGTCCTGGCTGGTCCCCATTCCCGTCTGCTCCCTCCTCACTCGGACTCTGCTCCGGGGGAAGCGGAGCTGTTATGGGTGGAGCAGCGGGGGCTTGACAAACCCCAAACAGATTTGGGGGCCCTGGGGCCGCTCTGTACCTGCCAGGGTGGGTGCTGTGTGGCCCAGGAGCAGCGGCCTGACCTCTCGAAGCCTCCAGTCCCTCCAGTGTACACTGGGTTCAGTTGTGGACAGCCACGGGGACCCACTGTGGGGACAGGGCTCAGGGCCGCCCACGGTCACCCATCGCTTAGTGTGGGCAGGTGGATGTTTGGGGTGGTCAGAGCCCCTCCGGTCCCCGCCCCGCCTCTCCCTGCCCCCAGGCTGCCGGCAGCTCCCTCTTTCTCGGGCCCCTGAGCTCCTCCGTGTGGGTCAGTGAAACGGGGCTGACTGCATCTGCTCAGCCCCTCTTGGGGTTCTGGGCTGGGGGGCGTTGGCGGCCCGGCCCCCTCCCACGCCCGGCCTTCCCCCGCTCCCCAGGAGCAGAATGGAGACAGCCACCACGCGGGGGACTGGCGGGGGCCAGGCAGGGACTTGCTCCCCCCCGCCGTGAGGAGCAGGAAGTACCAGGAAGGGCCGGACGCTGCTGAGAGGAGGCCACGGGAGGGTGGCCACTCCCCACTGGACAGCGCAGACGTCCGGGTGCAGGTGCCTCGCACGGTAGGCGACTTCTCCCCAGGGGCCCACAGGGAGCCGCGAGGGGCTCCACTGCCCATCCTGCACAGCATCTTACACGGCCCACCTGGAGGCCGGGCCAGGTCTCTCCAGGGAGCTGAGGTCATGGCTCTGGGCTGTCCCCTGGGACCTGGTGGGCACAGGGCCTGCTGAAAGCCCGGGGCAGCCCGGGCAGGGACAGGGTTTACTCATCAGCCGGACGGGAGGCCTCGTGCTGGTGGTGGTGGGGCAACAGGCAGCCCAGGAAGGGTCTGCAGGACAGCTTGGGGAGTGCAGCTCAGGTCCTCAGGCCCAGCCAGCAGCCTCTTCCTGGGGACACAGTGTACAGAGGTAGACAGACAGACGGGGTCTGGTGGACAGATGGGTGGGGCTGGATGGCTGAGGGGTGGGGTGGACTAGTGATCGAGTAGACGGACAGGTGGGGGATGGAGGGACGGACCTGGTCTCTTGCTGCCTGGCAGGTGTCGCACTGTGCCCAGGAGCCTGGCTGGCTTCTCCCAGGCTCTCAGGGGCAGGTCAGGTACGGGGTGGGGGGGGGGGCACAGAGGGGCACGTGCCTGGCCACGCCCAGGTTCAGAGGTCAGCCTGGAACCCCCCATGCACAGAACGGCTGCATCCAAGCCTCCGAGAATTAGTCTAAAAGTAGTTTCCTCCAGGGGTTTAATCAGCCCCTTCCCCGCCTGTGAGGGGCGTGGGTGCCATGCTGGGCATTCTTAGCCCCAAATGGCTGCTTTGCACCCGTCTTCCTGTGAGCCTGGGGCAGCCTCCGCTGACCCCATTTGACCCCAGCCCCAGAGGATGGCCAGAGTCTGTGTCCGGGGAGTGGGGCGAGCGGGGGAGGGCACAGGGGCCTGGGGAGGGGGGCGGGATCCCTGCTCAGGGCAGGAGGCCCCGTCAGGCCCCTCCCCAACCCTGAGCCCAGGCAGTGCAAGGGCCCAGGCAGTGCAAAAGGGTGTTGCCACCAGCACAGCGGGGGCTGCGGGATCTGAGGAGGGTGGCTGGGTGTGGTCTGAGGGCCCGAGAACTTGTCCTGGGGCTGGGCATGGGGAGCAGGGCTGGGCCAGCCCCAAAGGTCAGGGGGAGTCCTGGAGTCGGCCCAGCCAGAGGGGGCCTGGGCGGGGAAGGATCCTTGCCAGGGCACTGGGGAGCCACAGCGGGCTCTGGAGTAGGAAAGGCCTGCCCAGGGCCGAGCAGAGGCCTGGCCGGTGCTCATGGCCCCCACCGCCCGGCTTCACCCAAGACCATACTTACCAGGTGACGGCGGCGTCCATACCCACACCCCGTTGTTCATGCTGTGAAATGGGGGCTGAGCGAGGGGGGCAGCGCCTGCACCCCAGCTGCCTAGCCCCGCCCCGCAGCAGGGAGTGCAAAGAAAGACATGTCTTTCTGATTCTCTCGTAACCCTAAATCACACCTGCCTCCCTGCACGAGAGCTGTCTTGGAAGGCTTCCCAAAGAGGCAACCGAGGCAAAGCCGTACACCGCCCCCCGCCCCCGCCGCCATCTGGGGGCCTCAGAGCCTTGGGCCCCAGAGGCGGGGCCCGGGGAGGTGAGCCAGGCACCCCCCGACGCACTGTGGCTGCCACAGGCGGAGACCAGCGCGGCGAAGGTCAGGTACGGGGTGGGGGGGGGGGCACAGAGGGGCACGTGCCTGGCCACGCCCAGGTTCAGAGGTCAGCCTGGAACCCCCCATGCACAGAACGGCTGCATCCAAGCCTCCGAGAATTAGTCTAAAAGTAGTTTCCTCCAGGGGTTTAATCAGCACCTTCCCCGCCTGTGAGGGGCGTGGGTGCCATGCTGGGCATTCTTAGCCCCAAATGGCTGCTTTGCACCCGTCTTCCTGTGAGCCTGGGGCAGCCTCCGCTGACCCCATTTGACCCCAGCCCCAGAGGATGGCCAGAGTCTGTGTCCGGGGAGTGGGGCGAGCGGGGGAGGGCACAGGGGCCTGGGGAGGGGGGCGGGATCCCTGCTCAGGGCAGGAGGCCCCGTCAGGCCCCTCCCCAACCCTGAGCCCAGGCAGTGCAAGGGCCCAGGCAGTGCAAAAGGGTGTTGCCACCAGCACAGCGGGGGCTGCGGGATCTGAGGAGGGTGGCTGGGTGTGGTCTGAGGGCCCGAGAACTTGTCCTGGGGCTGGGCATGGGGAGCAGGGCTGGGCCAGCCCCAAAGGTCAGGGGGAGTCCTGGAGTCGGCCCAGCCAGAGGGGGCCTGGGCGGGGAAGGATCCTTGCCAGGGCACTGGGGAGCCACAGCGGGCTCTGGAGTAGGAAAGGCCTGCCCAGGGCCGAGCAGAGGCCTGGCCGGTGCTCATGGCCCCCACCGCCCGGCTTCACCCAAGACCATACTTACCAGGTGACGGCGGCGTCCATACCCACACCCCGTTGTTCATGCTGTGAAATGGGGGCTGAGCGAGGGGGGCAGCGCCTGCACCCCAGCTGCCTAGCCCCGCCCCGCAGCAGGGAGTGCAAAGAAAGACATGTCTTTCTGATTCTCTCGTAACCCTAAATCACACCTGCCTCCCTGCACGAGAGCTGTCTTGGAAGGCTTCCCAAAGAGGCAACCGAGGCAAAGCCGTACACCGCCCCCCGCCCCCGCCGCCATCTGGGGGCCTCAGAGCCTTGGGCCCCAGAGGCGGGGCCCGGGGAGGTGAGCCAGGCACCCCCCGACGCACTGTGGCTGCCACAGGCGGAGACCAGCGCGGCGAGAGCCCTGCCCGTCCCGTCTGGGAGTTCAGGCCGAGCCGCGTCCCTGTAGCTGCAGTTCCGGGACCTCTTCGACCAAATAGATGGCAGTCAAGGCTCAGGCTTGCCACGTGTGCCTTGTTTACAGCAGCCCTAAGGGGGAAACTGAGGCTCAGGGTACGAAGGAGATGGCTAGAGGGCATCCAGCTAGGAATGGTAGGGCTGGGGTTCCTAGGCCAGGGTCAGCTCCTGGCACCCACAGGTTGGCCCCCATAGAGAACACGTCAAGGTGTCGGGCCATGGTGGTGTCTTTGGAGAAGGTTCCTACGACAGGGTTCTGAGCCTGGCCCCAGCTGGAGGCCTGGATCCCGATGGTGGGCTGAGCCCCCGTGCCCACCCGGGGACCCGACAGGAGGCGTCCTCAGAGGGCCAGTCCCAGGCTGCTGGTGGTGGCCGTCTGTCCCCAGGGCTGTAATGGAAGGGGCCGGCAGCTCTGAACCCACTGTAGGAGGAGCAGGACAGAGTGGGCCCTAAGAGGGGCCTCTGGTGTCCTTGTCCTGTCCTCACCTCTCTTGCCGGGACTATCCAGATGCCTCGGGTGGTCGGCCCCTGCTGGCTCCAGGGCCGGGCTGACGCTGACTCCACGACCTCCCAGAGCAGGAAAGGGACACCCAGGTGGCAGCAGGAGGCCAGGGAGGGCACTGCGGCCGAGGGGCTTTGGTCTGGGGCCAGGCAGAAGCCAAGGGGGCTACTGTGTGGTGCTGCGGCTCTGCAGGGGGTAAGGGTGTTAGGCCACGCGACCATCGAGGCCCAGAATGGGGAAGGACACCCATCCGTCCGGCTCCTCTCCGGGCTGGGCAGGAGGCCGGGGCTGCTCTCAGAGAGAAAGTGCTCCCCAGACAGCTTTCACCCCCTCGCCCTGCTGCTGTGACTGCCCACAGGCTCTGTGCTCAGGGAAATCCATCTCCTAGTGTTTACGGAGTGTGTGTGTGTGCGCGTGTGTGCACGTGTGTGCGTGCGTGCGCGGGTGGGCGGGGACGGGGAGGGGCCCTCGCCCTGGGTCCTATTTAAGCATCAAGCTAATAGAGCCCGTGGGTCTCTGCGGTGAGGCAGCACCGGGCACTGCAGGCAGGGCAGTGGCACAGGAGCCTTGGCGTCCTGCCTGGGCTCCACGTGGCCCGGCACCCAAATGCACTTGGCTGCTGGCGGACAGGGCTGCGGATCCGCGTGAGTGGGGGGTCCCTAACACGGCTGGAGGCTCACGGCCTGTCAGAGCTGGACTTAGGCGGCAGAGCGCTCCTCTTGGGGGGCCGGGGCGGGTGGATGGTCAGCCGGCGGGCAAGCAGTCAGCTTCCCGGCAGCTTCGCCCCGGGCCAGTTCAGTGGGGGTGAGTCCCGTGTGTTGACCCGTGTACTCACCTGCCTTCGGGCGTCCCCGTCCTGGGTGGCTCGGGAGCCAGGGCAGCCGCAGCCCTGGGGAGCCGGCCAGGCCGGCTGGAGGGGACAGCCGGGCCTGGCGGATGGGAGAGTTTGCACGGCCAGGGCCAGCTCCTTCCCCGGGAGGCGATAGGCTGAAACCTCTGCGGTGGAGCTGGAGCGAGCCTCAGGGAGTTCTGACCTCCGGGCGGAGGGAGCCCGAGTCAGGCAGAGGAGGGGGGAGGGAGCAATGGGGTGGCCTCCAGGTCCCCTGAACGTGTCCTCCTGGGATTCAGGCCGGTGTCCTGAGCGAGGGGCGTGGGCCTCCCCCTGTGCCTGTGGTCCCAGGCCAGCAGTGCCCTGCATGAGGGGGCGCCCGCCCTTCACAGGTGGCCCCGGGCTCGCGGACGGTGAGAGCTGCCAGGCCCCGGGCCAGTCCCAGGTCTCAGGCTGGGGTGGCTGTGGCACAGTGCCTCGGGAGCCTGTCTGGACGACCGTGGCGGGGCCCTCAGCCCAGCCCTGGCCACGGTGGTGATGGCGCCGTGAGAGGCCTACAGCAAACCCCCCTCTCCTTCAGGTGCCTCTCTTGAGCCCGAGCTGCAGCCCAGGGGAGGCTGGAGGAGTGTTGGGGACACGTGCGTCCAGTGAAGCGGGACCCCCGGGTCACACCTTTCCTGGGAGGGGCCTGGCTCCATTCACCTGGCCCATGGTTCACCTGGGAGATCCCAGCTGGGGCCAGATGCTGGGCTGGGGGCGGGAGCAACAGCTCCCCCTGCAGTGGGGTGGTGCTGTGCTCACCCCACACCTGGCGGAGCCGGGGGCCCCCAGCCTGTGAGCAGAGCCCACGAGCGCCTGGGGGAGGCACCTGTCCATAGACCCCACCTTGACGCTGGTCCCCAGCCACTCTCTGCCGGGCCTGCAGGTCCCCAGGAGGCCCGGACTAGGTACAGCCCCCTGGCCAAGGCCCCTGTGGGCCCCTGAGCACCGGCTCTCCCTTCCCTCCAGGTTTCCTGGGCACCACAGGAGAGCAGAGCCCTCCGGGGTGGATTCTGAACCTCCTGGCTCTGGCCTTGGCTCTGGGCCTGCCCTGGCCAGGCAGGGGGTGGGGAGGTGCGACCTAAGAGCCTGAGCCCAGTGGGGTCTCCTCCGAGCTGCCACCTGCTGGCACAGGTCGGTGGGACCACCCGCTCGGCTGCCCCTCGCTGCCCGTGTCAGCCAGCGGGTCCTCCCGGCTTTCGGACGCCTCACTGCCGCACAGCCTGAGCCCAGCTCAAAGCAGCCCTCACTGTGCTCTGGGAGCCCAGACTGGGCCAGCTTCCAGGGCCCCAGTCTCCTCTGTGAAACGGGCTGGTGTTGGGTTGTCGGGAGCTCTGGGGGTCACGCATTTCAGGCAGGGCTCTGAGCGATGAGGCGGCCGCCAGCCAGCCACCCAGCCAGCCGTGAGATGCACGGGCCAGGCCTGGGCAGGGGGCACCAGCTTCTGTGGGGGGAGGGAGTGGGATGCCGGTTAGCACCCAAAGTGTCCTCTGGAAGCCATCCAGCTGTCCATCCAGCTGTCAGCCCGCAGGGCCCTGGACCAGGCTTGGTGAGGCTGGCACTGGGGGTGGGCCTGCTCTGGTCCTGCCCTTTGGGCAGCCCCTGAGAGACCACGCCCTCCATGGAGGTGTGAACTGAAGCCACCCTGCCAGTTGGGACTCAGCCTGACCCAGTGACCTGGTCTCACCCTATCCCACCCACTGCCTCAGAACTGTGGCCCCTTCCCCCCATTCTGACCCAGCAGTGGGACTTGCCCGGCTCAGCTGGCTTAGCCCAAGGTCAGCCCTCCCCGTTGCCCAGGCTGCCCACTTAATGTAACTTTTTTTTTTTTAATTTATTTTATTTTTTTGGCTGCGCTGAGTCGTCGTTGCTGAGCGCGGGCTTTTTTCTCCGGTTGCGCCGAGCGGGGCCTACTCTTCGTTGCAGTGCGCGGGCTTCTCGTTGCGGTGGCTACTCTTGTTGCGGAACACGGGCTCTAGGCGCACGGGCTTCAGTACTTGTGGCTCGTGGGCTCAGTAGTTGTGGCACAGGGCTCAGCAGCTGTGGCTCGCGGGCTCTAGAGCACAGGCTCAGTAGTTGTGGCGCACGGGCTTAGTTGCTCTGCGGCATGTGGAATCTTCCCGGACCAGGGCTCAAACCCGCGTCCCCTGCACTGGCAGGCGGATTCTCAACCACTGTGCCACCAGGGAAGCCCCCAGGCTGCACACTTATGCTCACTGAGGGCATCTTCCAGAGCCCCTGTGGTCCAACCACCAACCCATGGCCCCCAGCCTGGCGTCCTGGCTCTCCCCAGCCACCCAGAGCAGACCCTGGCCCACCACACTCCCGCCTTGGCCAGCACGCGGAGGGTGGGGCTGGGGGATGAGAGCACTGTCTCTAGCCTGGCCCGCGCACATCTGCTATCCTTTGGGGACCTTATAAAACTGCCCAAACCCCACAAGGGGTGGGACTGGGAACACAGAAGCCCTCACCTTCCCCAGTTTGGGCTCCTTGCCTTTGGTGGTATGACCCGGCATTGCTGGCACCTCTGGGTCCAGCATCACCGCTGACAGGGCCCTGGCACCGGCCACTTCCAGTGTGCATAAGGAGCTGCCAAGGGGTCTGGTCACTCACTCACTCGTTTATTTGTTTAGCAGACACTGGTGAGTGTTGTGCTGGGTGCTGGGGCTCCAGGGGTGCACAGGCATGGGTGGCACTCACTGCAGGCGGCTGACACAAGTGCCCAGTAGGGGCCCCCGGGGGGCACCGGGGAGGAGAGAAG